TCATAGTTCTAAAATCTACAACCAGTTGCCGTCAAGCTGATTCTAGTGCACAGTCACCCATATGGACCAAAGTGGAACTGTGCACCAGCAGGTTTTCAGTGGATGCTTTTTATAAGCTTTTCTCCCTTTTCATTGTATTCAGAAATGTGATACAATAACGTTGCATTGTGCCTTGGGGTGGACTTGAACCTCCAACCTTTCAGCTAGTACCATGAAGGTTCAGAGACAGCATCAAAATGAGGAAATGGGAGATTTCACAAGGAAAGCATTTGTGTGTATGTTGAGGGGTAAGCCGCTGAGGTGTGGGTTCCAATGATTACTTATTTTGCATACAACCCTGTTGTTGTTGTTGTTGTTGTTGTTAGGTGCCATCAAGTTGGTTCTGACTCATAGCGGCCCTACGAACAACAGAAGGAAACACTGGCCGGTTTGGAACATCCTCGCAAATGTTCCAGTGCTTCAGGCCATTGTTGTAGCCACTGTGTCAACCCATCTCTTTTGGAACCTTCCTCTTTCGCTGCCCCTCCGCTTTACCGGCCATGCTGTCCTTCTCCAGGGACGGGTCTCTCCTGACAGCAGGTCCAAAGCATGGAAGAAGTCCTCTTGCCATCCTTGCCTCTAAGAAGCCCTCTGGTTGCAGTTCTTCCAAGACACATTGGTTTGTTCTTTGGGCAGTCTGTGGTGATTTCAGTATCCTTGCCAGTACCACAATTCAAACACATCATTCTTTTCTTCGGTCTCCCTTATTCAGTGTTCAACTCTCACATGCACGTGAGGTAATGGAAAATACCCTGGCCTGGCTCTGGCGAACTTAGTCTTCAGAGTAACCTCTTTGCCTTTCAACACTCTAAAGAGGTCCTGCGCAGCACATTTGCCCAGGGCAATGCATCTCTTGACGGCTGCTTCCATGATTATAGATTGTGGATCCAAGGAAAGACGAAATCCCTGACAACTTCCATCTTTTCCCATTTATCATGATGTTGCCAATTGGTCCAGTTGTGAAGACTTTCATTTTACATTGAGTTCTAATCCATACTGAAGGCTGCAATCCTTGATTTTCATCAGCAACTGCTTCATGTCCTCCTCACTTTCAGCAAGCAGGATTGGGTCATCTATGTATTGTTGGTTACTAATAAGCCTCCAATCCTGATGCCCCCCCC